AAGAATAAATACAGAGGCAAGAACAATGGCAACTCCTAGGACTGCTACTGACCCAGCATTACCCCCCAGAACACAGTTTAAGAGTGCCACAGCAATGGAGCCTGTGAAACAGAAGTCAGGTGACCCGTCAAAGGGTCATGGAGAGTCAATACACTTATCCAGCTCAAACTGCAGGAGGAACAACCATTATTTATTTATTTTTAGAACAGTTCATCAAATCACAGCACTTAGTTTTCTTAAAGAGGACTGAAGTCCCGCAACAGATAATGCTTTTGTATTTGTTACAAACATTTTAAGTTATAGAGATAAATCTTAAAAAACCCAACATATGAAGAGACAAGTAGCATTAACACCTTAAATTAGTGAGACCAGGGAGGACTTAAATGAATTTTAAGCTGCCAACTGCATTAAATTTCTCAAGTCAACTTGTTATGACAAGTTGAGTAATTGGCTTCTGTCTATAGCCTCAGATACAACCTATCAAAAAGGTTCAGGCTCTCTCTCAGGCAAGCATGCATATCCTCTATAGTTTTTCCTTTTAAAAAAAAGAAAAAATTGAAAAGTCATCACTCCATTCAAAAACAACCGGCTGTAGTGATGTCCTACGTCCACTACAGCATCAACAAGAAACAGGATCCTGGATTCAATTACTTCCACAGTCTAAAGGGGTCAAATTTTAATCTTTCACTTCAGAGCACACTCCTTCGCAGTGTCCACAGTTGTGAGTGTGCAGCAGCTCCCACCTCCGTTCAAGCTGCATCACTGGACAGTACAGACTAAAAAGTCATGGGCCAGAAAAGACTAGAAGAAACATGGCTGCACAGGCTGCAATTAAAGACTGGTGTGGAGAGAAGGGAACCGTGGGTCTCCAAAGAAGTCACATCTACCAGTTTTACATTCAAATTTAAAATAACCTTTAAAGTCAGGTGAGTCAGAAAAGCCTCTCTGCTCAGTAAGAGCATCCAAGGTAATCCTTTTACTCCAGCCACTCGCTTGTATGCCTAACCTGTAACACTTCCTTGTTCTTTCAAAGACAGAAAAAAAATGTGATAGGAAAACATCAACTTAAAAATTCAAGCAGCTTTGAAAGGGAAAAGGAATGAAGTATTGAGAATCCTACACATAATCTGATCTCACTGAGCTTTGAGAAGTCTGACAAGAATTAAAAGCAACCAAAGGGAAAGAATCACTTGTTTTATGCTTTCCAAATCTTGATGCTCTTTTATTCACGTCCACCTAAGGCTACTCAACAGCGGGTGCCACAAATACACAAAAGCAACGATTCCAGACATTTAAGAAAGTGTTATTGCTCATGCAGCGGTGTTACTTTGCACTTGTAACATGAATAAGGAAATAATCCAGTTCAACTTCATGAACATGTCGCATAGCAAAAATGAGCTGCAGAAAAGTGTCTGGTTTTATCAAATCAAACTAAGTCCTATAAAAAAAAAACCATCTTTTTTCTTCTACACAATGTGTAGTCCAGCCTTTTCAAGTATCAAGGCTATTTAGGTATCACCAAAACTGTAATATTTCAGTAGTGTTAGTATACTCTTACTAAGTGATAGTTGGAGAGGCATTTTAGAAACAGAACTGACCACTTCATAGCTAATGTTCTACCTATACATTATGACACATGGACCTATAAAATGTTCTTCAACATCTACATGAATGATAATCTAAGCATCAAGTGTTTTGAACTTCAGCTTGACTATTTAGTTCTTCCTGAATGTGATCACTGGCATGCTGGCAAAGTAATACTAAGATGGAAAATTTTGCTACTATAAAAGAGTAATTTTAACTTTTTCCTGACTTCTACATTAATGGACAATCCTCTCTGATACACAAATGCAGTAAACTCATGTGCCTAATGAGCTGTTGCCTTCAGTCAACTGTGACATACAATTGCTTGTGCAATAACTTATCACACCTGCTACTCCACATACTATCCATTCTATTGCCTTGTTACCCTACTTTTATTATAGATATATACACAATCATGAACACTCACTGTAAACTTGTCCTCCCTTTTCTTTCGGTAGCCGTATGAGTTTTTCCTAAGGGAAAGAAAGCAGTTATCAGAACCTTGCCTATAAATGAATGGAAGGCAGTTGGTGAAAACAAGAGAAATTAATTCGAACTGTTATTTCATCTATCTTCACTCTAGACAGGTTACTAAACATTTTTTTAGGAAAAAATTTCTAGCAAGCTCTCATTAAAATAAAGGCACCGATCTTATACAAATCAGCATAAGAATACACTGGTTATAAATAATTCCTGTGTTAAAGGCATCTCAGTGCCAATTACACATAAGACAAAATGTGTTAGATAAAACCTTTCAATATCCAAAGTAAAGGTTTTAGTCTTTTTTTTTTTTTTTTTTAATACCTATGTAACTTTTGAAATATGACTAATTGTTTTCAATTCAGGTAAAGCCCCTCCAAAACATTTTCAGTACTTCTCCCCCAGTCCTGCTTCAGGTAAAGCCCCTTGAAGCGGCAGTTTAAAATTTGCAATGCATTCTAACTCGGTTTCAATATATTTTGTAAGTTTTCTGTTTGACTTTTAATAGTCTAAATGTATTCAATACCAAAACATCAGAATATAAATTTAAGTACTGACTATTCCTGTACATTTTTGTAGTCCATAGTTTGAGCAGTCTTGTTTCCTATGTCCTTAATCATACTTTCGTCCACTAGTTATTACAATTCGGCAAACTAGATTTAGGAAAGTATTACAATCCTTGCACAAAATCCCCACTTAATTTTGCAATAATACAATATAAGTCTAATATAGGATCACCGGCAAAAGACTTGAATTACCTTCCAATTCAGTAAGTCACTCAAAATGCGATTTAATTGGGAGAGACAAACACAGCCATCATTGAACAAAGCTGCACAGTACTTTTATTAGAACTGTACTGTACGTAAAAATTTCCAAGATAAGCCTGCTAAATTCTCACATTAATATTGGTACCACCAATTTTCAGCTCCCCAGGTGGCAGTGGGTTTTTGTTGTTTTTTGTTTGTTTTTAAACTGCATAACGAGTTTTCTCAGTTGCATGTAATCCTTTTTCCTCCATCCATACCAATCCATCATCTTTGTTGTTGTAAATATCTAATTTGGGCAAAATTCTGATCTTTCAACTGAAAAAATTAACAATGAGCACCGCTAGTACAGGTTCAGGTGCACAGTCTACACTGCTGAACAACAGAATGCGCACAACTGCTTCAGTAAAGTCTAATAAATAATGTGCAAAACTTTCTTACAACAGATGAAGAAAATATAGAGGATTAGATCTTACGGCTGTAAATTGTTCATCAGTTGCCATTAATGATTTTCATTTGTTAGGAATGTGTACAAGTCCACTTTGCCTTTGTTCTATACTTAGCACTTTCTCTGAAGCACTTTCCAAGATTTTAGCTTTGAGGAGAGACAGTCTCCTTTAAAACACTACTGAGAACAGTACTAGTATCACACCTCTTTACTAGAAATAGTTTAGAAGCAGCAATACCGGGTTGTTCAGAGGACAACTACAGAGTAGACTCACCTTCCTCTTCCTAGTCCGGGAGATGAGTCAACGCTGCTCTGTTCCACCCGTCCAGTTCCTACTTCCCTCTTGGTATAACTCGTAGTAGCATTCTGCATCCGTGTCCTGTTTTGTCCCGGCTGCCGCGTCTGTGGACTCCTGACGCCATTGATTAAACGATCAGCAGAAAAGTTGAATATTGTAGGACTGTCTAGAAGCCCAGGTCCCCTTTCTGCACTGGGTATTGTATGACGTATATGAGACTTGCTAGGATTCCTACAAATTCAAAAGTCATTTCAACATACGTGCTATGAGAGATCTTCTGAGGCCTAAGGCTATACACAGAATTCAGAAGAAGCAATATCTTTAGTCCTTTATTGCATATTTAGTTTGTAAGAATAATAAATATTCATTTTAACAGGTCATGTGAATTATCAAAATTAATCTTTTCACTGTCTATTTTCAACTATGGATTTACTAAAAGCTATTGGAAACTGAAAATACTATAGGAATAATCCTGCTGATCACATGCCATCATTCAGAATATTTAATCTGAATGCCCTAAATCATGGAACAGACGTGTTCTCAGCTTTCAGACAGTCCGCTAACAACAGCGGCACCATCTGCCCTTTGGCCTCACTTAACCTTGCACCAGGTTCAATTTCACAAGTATTTTCAAGTTAGCTGGTGTTACTAAAATAAGCAGATTAAAACCCCATATGGCAGATAATAAAACAGCATGCATATTGTTTAAAGATGGCTGAACTTGCCTGTTCCTGGGAGGATATTGTCTGAGTGTAGTCAATGGAGAAGCAGCAGGCTTGAAGGTTGGAGATGTGAACCCATTGATAAATCCAGTATTCGGAAATGGTGTTACCTAAAGAATATATTGCGTGCTCATACACAAACTAAATGCTATTTTTTCTTAAACCTGTATTTTCTGTCATTCTATGCGGGGCAGTACTTAAAAGATTGGCTCAAACAGCAACAGAGCATTTGTCCACTGCATTGTAACCAACTTTAAAAAACGCTGGTTTTTTTTGAGAAGAAAGCCACCACACATATTCAAGGTCTAGTAATTTGTTAAAAGGATTGAAAAACATCGAGCCAAAATTCTTGGCTGTAAGTTAAGTAACACTCCTATGTCACACCATACTACACATGACTACAGAGTACAGAGGGATACTTCTTCAGGAAAAAGTCTAACCTACACAGCCTGCAGGTTATTTTTCTTATAATATATATATGAATCCCTCCCTGAAAAGAAAAAAATTCTTTTTAGTTCCTCATTCTACATATCTTCCACGGTACACCTAAATAAAGCCTAGAGAATAAGTGGATGTTAAGTGGACCTCTGATTCTTCCCACACCTTACCACCTTATTCTACATGTTTATTACTGCCTTGTTGCCCAAACAAGCAACATTAGCAGAAAATTTTTTGGGGTGGATGCATATCAGTGTCTTGTATTAACAAGGTATCTCAAAATTTGAAGCATGTTCACAGTAATTTCTCCAACTTCACTAGCACACTTTTTACCTTTTTTTTTTTTTTAATGTATGAATGAGTTTCATTTAGGAAATGTTATTATTTGGAACAGCAAATGCTTGCTTGTCTTCCCCTGAAAATAACTACAATGCAGGACAGTAAGACTTCTATGTAGCACTCTGTACACTTAATTAAATGATAAGAAACAGCTGGGATTAGGACTGTTTCCTATAAAGGTATCTTTAAGCTTGCCTAACCTTTCTTGCGAAAGCTAAAGCAAATCAGTAATCAATGAAAAATAAAATTTAACAGCAAAGCTGTCATGTCAAAATACTGTTAGCCTAACCTAGCACACGTGACAGAAAATGCTACCTCAGACTCCAAAAATAGGCCATTAGGAGCTATTTTAGGAAGAAAGTTTCATCAAAATACTGCTTTGAAGTGCTTTCTGCTTTAATAGTTACAACTTGAACACTGTAAAATTCAGTAGTAAGCAACTACTGAACCTGAATAATAATTAGATATTGAACACACTAAAGGAAAACAAGCTTAACTCATTGCTTAAAGGAACAGTAGCAACATTCACCCCTTCTTTCTTTACAAGGATGGGCAATCTTTTTGGAGGAAAAAAAAGTCTTTTCATTTTCCAATAATACCAAAAGCATCTATTTGCTTTCTTCACAGAAATCATCTGGCTCATCAAAAACACTTTTTTTTTTTTTTTTTTTTTTTCTGTTACCAGCAGGACAAGCTAGATCTTTCCCCAAAAACTATTAAGGACTTGACGAAGAAGTAGGTAATTTTAAAATTTTGAGGACATGTGTTGCCATACTCTAGTTTCACAACTAAAACCGTTTGCCCGTGCGACTAGGTGTATTTAATGTCAAATCAGAGATGAGACAGCCCTGTTAGCGTTCATGCTGAAGCAGAAGGAAACTTCTGCTATATTTGCACACAAGTCTCTACATGCAAACTGCAATCCTGTCTCATGAAAATTATTTCTGTGTTATTGTACCTCATGGTCCCTGTTCTCCTCAAGTAATTTGTATCCAAATATAGCTCTTCCTATAAAAGGCTCAAGAAACATGGTATAACATTAATGTACACCAAATGCGGCTAATCAATGACAAAATGCTGCAAACCAGTGGGAGGCAAAGTTCTGCCAGTTAATTTTCTGTTTTTACTAAGAAAGGTATGAGATCTTTAATGTTGGCAAACTTGTGTCTTCCCCCAAAGGCCAGGACTAGTAAGCTTTCTGGAATACAGGATGACATAAGGCAGATACACACTATGCTCTGCTTGAATCTGTGGCCAATAATCTACATCATCTACACCAGTGCCACACAACTACTTCACTATCCCACAGCAAGACTGTGCAATAGTCAGTCTTAGTTTATCTAGAGGAAGAAAAGAAGAATCACAGTCATTGCTACTTAATAAGGTGGCTTTCTCCTGGAATAACATCATCTTGTCTCCTCTGCATTCTTCATGCCCTTTAAAAAGCCTTCCCCTGCAAGGGCTCTGGCTACCTTCCCTGTGTGTGTTCAGCACACCAACTTTTTAATTAGCTTGCTGTTTGGTACACAGGAAGTTTGCTCAAGTTTGTTCAAGGACACTTTAATCCTCTGCCAAAAAAACTCTAAAAGCTTCTAATTTTGAGCATTGCTACTCTGGTTTCTTTTAGCTGCAAGTAGAGAGGCATTTAGAGGGGAGAAAGAGGATCCACGTAGGACAACCGTAGTCTCCCAGTCATTACAGAAAACTATATTCATATTAGCTTTTGTGGGATAACAAAGGCAGACTAAAAGGGGCCCAATTCTGAGACTGTCACAATGGAGAAGATGATGGAAGCGGCACTGCAGGATGAGGCACATGTCCCATTACAATATAGAAGGACTTACTGCTACCACCCTAGCTCTGAGGCCTACCAATAGCCCCTTTAAGAAAATTTTTTAAAATTAAGCAATTTGAAAGTTAATTACTTTTTCATTAGCAAAAGAAATTTTATTTTCTATTGCCAAAAAGAGATGTTACTTTTGCACAGAAAATATTTTGCTTTAAGAACAAGCTGGATAGGGTAATTCAGTGTGTTAACCTAGAACTTACTTTCCTGCTGGGAGATCAAGATATTAAGTTATTCTTATTTATCTGATTCCATTAAGTTTATTCAGTACGTACCAGAATTGCTTTTTCTTCTATTCAAATACATATTCTGGAGATCTAATTTCTAAAGAGGCTTTTAACTATCACTAGAAGAAGTCTTCAGTAAAGATTTCTTTTGGTAATGGTTAACAACCTTTAGTAAAGAACTGCCTCAAAAACTGAAAGGTTAAGAGAAGAACCACACTGCAGTCTGAGACCAGATGCAATTTTCAAATAATTAATCATGTACACCAGGGGAAGAATTCTGAGGAACTGTTTTTCAAGAAGAATCAGTATCTTAAACTCCCCTCTTCAGGATACATATGCTTCCTACACCTCATGACTTCATAAGAAAAATAATACCAACTTTGAAAAGAATGCAACTGTTTCATAACCAAGAGACTTACCAATGAAGGGTCAAGGTAGCTGTGCGTGGCTGACCAGGTCTGTGGGCCAATTAAGCTGTACAATGGAAACTGCTGATGGGGACTGTATACTGGAGGTAAGTAAAAGGATGTTGTGTAACGCTGCTGCGTGTAGAGGTTCATATCCAGAGGTCTATATCCATTCTTTGGCAAAAATGTGTTTATAGCTATTGCCTTTGCTTTTATCCTTGCCTGCAAAGGAGATTAGATTATTTATGACAGCAGCCTTCCAAATTAAATCAGAATGGTTCAAACTAGCAGCTCTCAAACTTTTACTGGACACTTGTCTGTCACCGCTTTCTCCTTCAAGGAAGGTGGGAACAGCTGAATGCTTCCCTGCTGGCCTGATGCTGGGAAGGATCTACTGCTGCCACAAAGGAGGAAAAGAAGTAAAATGGCATGTGATATATTTCAAAACCCGTCTCCAGGACAAATGGCTGCTGAGATTGGACCACTAACATTTGTATTAGAAGACGTACTGAGCCCCACAAACCTAGAACATAAACACACATGCCCCAAAATCATTCAGTTCTATTTACCTTAATTGGTTTTCCTTGGAAAGTTTTCACTTCTTCTCTAAGGTATCTGTAAGCCTTTAAAAAAAGTAATTATAGAATTTGTCAAATATAATTTAAACAAAGGAAACAAACTTCGAAAGGCTAAGCTTCACAATAATTCTTGAAGCGTCTGCTAACGTTAGACTATAGAAAACTCTCATATGTAATCTGCGTTCAGCAAGATTTAAGTTATCATTGCAGAAGTGCTTCTGCAGCATTGAAACGAGACTTTAATTCTTATGATTGAAGCATTTCAATGTATCATCCAAAATATCAATGCTCTGAATACAAAAAAAAACAAACAAACAAAAACCAAACAAAAAAAACCTTTGACCAGGAAGCCAGGATATGCGAACAAGATAAAACTCTTACAGGGCTATGTTCAATAGCACTGATAACTGGATATTAGCTAAGGGAAGCGTTACTAGTTTTAGAGGTTTGGGTACTTTTCTTTTTAAATTGTTACACATTTATAATACAGTTTATGACTAGTCAATCCACCCATATCCTACCTTTGTTTACTGTTATATTCAATGCTTGAAAAAACCCAGTGTTACCTGCTGTGCATCAGCTTCAGATTCAAACGTGATGAACCAATTGTCATTATAGGCAAACTCACAGTTGATAAACCTCGGCAAATTATCTCCTTTGAAAAGTGCTTCAACCTCCTAAGGAAAGTAGTTTTGATAAGAAGGGAGGGAAAAGGGTGAGAGGAAAAAAAAAAAGAGAAGGGACAGAAGAAAACATCAATTTAAAGTGCAGACCTCAAACTCCAGGTAAGAAAGATAAAAAGCACTTTCAGGCCTACAAAACAGAACTGAGAACTTCAGAACACCCGCAACAGTGCTAGCTCTCTCCAATCTCCCCGCTAGCTAGAAGGAATTCAAACAAGCGTCGTCTAAGGCCATACTACAAGCAGAAGTTGCCTGCTCCCTTTAAATCAGGGGAGATAAGCTACTTAGGGCATAGAGACACACTTAAACTCAGCATCAAGTGCAGAAAAACATCTATTTCTCCCCTGTCCCCAAAACCAGAGCCACAGAAAACCTGTGCATACTGCATGGGATAGGAGAACCCTGCCCTTTCAGCAGAAAACTGGAGATACACTTTAACTCAAATGTCTAAAGATTAATATATTTGAAACAGGGTTTCTGTTACCTCAGAAACAATCAGCTAGTTTCTACAGAAAACACATACCTTGGACTTTATCTTTGTTTTAATCTATTTGCATATTATTTATTTTTATCACAGAGTTGACGCAAGCAAAATAGAAAAGCAATGCAACTTGGAAGGCCTTACAGTATTCTGGAACTTTGCCGCTTAAATAAAGCCTGACCGTGCTACGTCAGAAAACATAGCCTATTAAATCTGGCTGGTTAAGTCTAGATTTTCCAGTCTGGGAAATTTAAACACATAATGTATAAAACTCTTCACTTCAGATCACCTCTTAAAAATAAAGACTCCTCAGAACTTTTTTGTGTGTTTTTAAGCATTTAAGAGCAACCACCTAGTGCTAATATAGCGGACCTGACAAACTTCCAACAGCAAAAAAAAAAATTCTACAATATTAAAAGCTAGGCAGTCTGAAAGTTTACATTTCATTTAGAAAGCTAAAAGCAGCTGATATTTTTAATATTCAATTCCTTTTAGCATTTTGTTTCATGCTCCTGTTTATTAAGGCCACTTACTTCTTTGTAAGTTTTTAAACTGCAGTACTTTTAATTTTTGTATGAAGACTACCAAGGAGACCAACTCTTTCAGAATCTTTATTCTTCCTTGTAAAATTAAATAGAGGGGAAATTAAAATATCTACTCATCATCAAGAATCTGTGCCTTCTCATCCCTTTTGAAAATTCAAGATGGTTTAACCTATGGCCCAATCATTTTTTTCTAGTCTTTCCATTAATCATAGTCGTAGATACATCAGAGTTGCAATGAATAGCTTTCAAAGAATCAAGTTCTCCACACTCTCACTCATTTAACAAGCCAGTGGAGATTCTTAGCAATTTGACACCTCTACCCCCAGCAGCCTGCAAAGCTTTAAGTACTTTACCCTAACAAGCTTCAAGGTGCAGCAGTGGTGTTTTCCGTTGTAAGACTTATCTTCCCTCATCTTTGTTTGCTATTTATCCAAGGAGATGAGTGCTAAGTACATACGGATAAGCCAGAGTTCAAGAAAGTGATGGTATCTCTGCCAAACACAGCATTGTCAGTTTTTCAGCCCTCTGCAGTTTTACCACAGTCTTCCTATGAGCAACAAGCTTCTATCAAATATATTTATAATCGAAACATACACAAATAACTCAGGCTTAGAAACATTGTTAGAAACTAACTAACAATATAGCAAGAAATGTGATATGCTTATTGATATCTGCAAGAAATCTAACACTATTTACTGAACAATTAAACACTTACTTCAATGGGGGTAGATTCAGGTACTTCACGTAAAATCACAATACAGCGATTCTGATTTGGCCTAACTTTTTCTCCCTTCTCATCCACTTGGACTAAAGGCAATGCTACAAGAGAAAAGAAAAAAAAAATATTTTAGCTGTTGGCAATCATAATAGCTTTGGACAGTTTTACAATGCAAGGCTTTTTGTGCTAAACTTCATATATTTTTGAACATTAAGAAACAGGCAGAAGATTACTGAGGATACTTTCAGACATATGAAACTGAGTAGACATGTTCCTTAAAATCTCCACACTCTTCCTACTCTTCCAGCCTAGAAAATCTCAATTCATCAGCTTTTTCCTCTCAGGCACACATTGAGTCACATTCTTTTCTGATTCTTACCTTAGTGGCAACATCCAGTATCCTTTTCTGAGAATTTAATCACAGAACCATAGAATACCAGGTTGGAAGTGACCTCAAGGGTCATCTGGTCCTCCTCCTTGGCAAAAGCACAGTTGAGACAAGATGGCTCAGCATCCTGTTCAGCTGAATCTTAAAAGTGTCCAGTGTTGGAAGATTATTCCAATGGTTGATTTTTCTTATTGTGAAACATTTTCCTCTTGTGTTCAATCAGAATCTCCTCATTTTTTCCATGTGACCCCTTGTAAAAAGGGAGTCTTCATCTTCTTTGTAGCCACCCTTTAAATACTTGGGACATGGTGATAAGGTCTCCCCTAAGCTTTCTTTTCTCAAGGCTGAACAAACCCAGTGCTCTCAGCCTTTCCCCATACAGCAGGCTTCCCAGGCCCTTCTCAGCACCTTCTCCAGCCTGTCCACATCCTTTTTGTACAGCGGGGACCAAAGCTCAACACAGGATTGCAGGTGTGGTCTGATAAGCACTGAGTAGAGTGCGATAATGACTTCTTTATCTCTGCTGGTGATGTCCTTGTTAATGCAACCCAACATCATTTTGCCTTTCTTTGCCACTGCAACACACTGTTCATTCATGTTAAGCTTGTTGTCCACCAGGACCCCCAGGTCTCTTTCCACAGAGCTGCTCTCCAGCCAGGTAGATCCCAGCCTGTGCTGCACTCCTGGATTATGTTTTCCCAGGTACAAGACCTTACACTTGTCCTTGTTGAACTTCATAAAGGTTCTTATTAGCCCACTCTTCCAGCCTACCCAGGTCTTCCTGCAAGTTGACTCTCCCTTCCAAAGCATCCAGTTCCCCACTCAGTTTGGTATCATCAGCGACCTTCATCAGGGTACACCTGATCCCATCATCCAGATCACTTATGAAAAGAGTAAACAGCGTTGGGCCCAATATCTATCCCTGGAGGACCCCACTTGTGACACATTGTCAGTTTGAAAAGGTGCTATGTACCACCACCCTCTGGGTGCAGCCTGTCACACGGTTCCCCACCCACCACACAGACCACTTGCCTAGACAGTAACACATCAGTTTCTCTAAAAGGAGGCTGTGGGGAACAGTATCAAAAACCTTGAAGAAATCCAGGTAGACTACATCCACTGCTCACCACACATCAGCTAAGTAGGTTCCTTTGTCGTAGAAGGCGATCAGGTTTGTCAAGCACAATTTGCCCTTGGTGAATCCATGCTGGCTTTTCCCAATCACATGCTTCATTTGTCTTGTGATAGCCCCCAGCACGATTAGGTCCATAACTTTCCCAGGGACAGAAGTAAGCATGATGGGCCTATAATTTCCTGGATCCTCTTTCAAGCCCTTTTCATAGATGGGTATGACATTAGCTTTCTTCCAGTCTTCTGGGACATCCCCCACACTCCACAGTGTCTCAAAGATTATGGAGAGCAGCCTCATGACATCAGTCAGCTCTCGTAATGCCCTTGAGTGGGTAATGTCTGGGCCCATCGATTTGTAGAGGTCAAACTCCTATAATAGTTCACACACACCAACTCTTCGTTCCCTGACAGTGGGTCTGTGTTTGCATCGACCTGGAGTTTTGTTCCCAAGACCAGGGCCCAACAGTGTTGGTAAAGACAGAGGTGAAGAAAGTGCTGAGAACCTCTGCCTTTTCAATGTTGTTGGTGACTAATTCACCTCTCCTGTTTAACAGGGGGCCAATATTTTCTTTCGGTTTCTGCTTGTTGTTTACATACCTGAAGAACCCTTTCTTCTGTTTTTTAACATCTCTGGCCAATTCCAATTAAAGCTGAGCTTCTGCTTTCTAACTGCATCTCTGCACACCCTGGAAATGCCCTTGTAGTTCTCAATGGGTATTCATCTGCTTTTCCATCTCTAGTATGCTCCTCTTTTGGGTTTGAGCAGACACACAAGCTCACAGTTAAGCCAAGGAGGGATCTCACTCTGCCTACCTCCCTTACCTTTAAAGGGGATGAACTGCTTTTGTGCTTCCAGGAGAGCCTTCTTTAAAAACTCCCGGCACTTGCTAGCTCCTTTATCCTTCATGGAAGCTTCCCACAGAAACCCTCCCAACTTAGCTCTGAGCAACCTGAAGTGTGCTCTTCTGAAATCTAGAACCTTTGTCTTGGTACTAACCTTCAGCGTGCTCAGCAGGATCCCACACTCCACAATACTGTGATCACTGCAGTCAAGACTGTCACTAACAGAGATATTACAAAGCAGGTTTTCTTGGTTTGTGAGTAGCAAGTCCAGCAGTGCCTCACTCCTGGTTGGTACCTCTAACACGTGAATGAGGAAGCAGTCCTCTATGCACTCCAGGAGCTTGATGGATGACATGTGAGCTGCTGTACTGTTCTTCCAACAAGTGTCTGGGCAGTTGAAGTCACCCATAAGAACCATGGTCTGTTGACCCAAAGCTTGCTTAAGTGACCCAAATATTGCTTTCATTGGCCTTATCATCTTGGTTGGCCTATCACTGGTAGAAGATGCCTACTGTAAGATCCTCCTTGGAGACAACCCCTCTGATCTTGACCCAGAGGCATTCAATAGGGGGTTCCACAATTGCTGTAATTGACTTTTATATATTCGAGGCTCTCCTTAACATGGAGCGCAACTCCTCCTCCTCCTCTTCCCTGTCTATGAAACAGCCTATAGCCATCCATCGTGATCCTCCAACCACATGAGTTGTCCCACCACAACCCACAATTTAAACTCACGTTATTCTCATTTACACAGACCATTACTCAATACCTCAAACGTGATGTGGCTTTGATAAAACCGCAGTCCTATAACTGTGATAGTCTAAACTGGAAGCTGCTTGCTCTAGTTAATGCTTTACAGAAAAAGGATGGCATTTTATTGCAATACGTAACAACAAAAGGAAGAGAGATCGAAAATCCAGATTAATAGTCCTATGGCAATAACCAAAATGCTTTCTAGCATTGAGGGATTTTTACTTACATCTCAGCACTTCAACAATCAAATCCATATCAGTACTGAGTTTCTTGACATGATCAAGGTTTGCTACTGTCATTATTGGCACATACTGATCACTGTCCATCTGTGATATAAGGTACATGTCACTGGCAAGGTTTTCTCTGTTGGGAGAGAAAAAAAACAGGGAAATGTCACAGATGCAATTTTTGCCAATAAACTTGAGACAAAAAAAACCCATCGCATATTAGAAGGCAGATTTCCACACCAAATTTTGTTCTCAGCATTTTCACCAAGTCCCCAGTCCATTCACCTACTGCATTTCACTTTCTAGAAAACATTAAAATGTTTTTTTCTTCCTTCATGCAACAGTACTGGCACCTTCCTATTCAGGCATCACATCACCCCCATAAACATGTAATATTGTTAGGAGTTTATTACTTCAAATGATCACTGACTCTACTTATGCAGGACTACACAGATTAGGAATTGTTCTATGTTATTAAGACATTTGTTTAGGATGTTTTTATCTAACACTAAGAATAATTAAGTACAAGTAAACTGCTCTGATGATCATGCACCAGGCTATACTGAAATGTGTATGATTCGGAGCCCTTTTTCTTCTCCTTTTTTTTTTAAATTGATCCTTAACTTAAAATATAAAGGGATCTGCAGATGCATACACAAAAATCCTACTTTTTACCAATGTTTTAAAAATTATTAGCTTAAACAAAGCTTACCAAATGGCTTAAGTTACTCAGTTTTAATTTGCAAAAAAAACAGTAAGTCAAAAAAAAAAAAAAAAAAAATCACTTGATCTGTAATTGCTTGTAACTACTCTAACTTCAAAAAATGTATTTGCTGGTTTATGTTTTAGGCCCAGAAATCATGAAAGCTTTGAGAGGTACATCAATATGATACTCTGGAATTTGTGTGTTACTTCCCCTGAATTCTCATCCTTTCCGCTCAGTTTTAACTGACAGATGAGAAATACATTAACATACATCCTGAGTAACGGATCTTGTTACTTCTCCTCCAGTTTACTACATTTAGGTATATACATACCTAGATAAACAGAACTCCAGTGTTTTTTTCAGTAATTCTCGCAAATCTTCTTGACCTTCTGGCTGCAACTGTTCGTTTCCACCTAATAATGAAAATATTTCAGTTTAAAATTTAGTTCTGCGATCTTACCCAACAGATATTTTCATCAAGCCATCATATCTATTACTAGCAGTATAACTAGTAACAGATTTTCAAATTCAATAACTGTTCATTGTGTATTAGTTCATCACCCACCAAAATAGCACAGCAACACTTCTTATTTGAGGCAGAAAAGAAAACCCATGTCTGACTTCACTTGTTAACCTCTGTTCTCCAAAGGCATAACAATTTCAAGCAGTTTTAGAAGAGCAGCTAGAAGCACAGCTCAAAGTAAAGACTGAACTGATTTAACTCATATAGTCTGTCTTCCAGTCTTAGGAAACTAACTGACTAACTGACTTCTAGGCTGACTAAACCCTAACGCAGCTTACTAATACAGCAAGTGAGCAACGTAACGGAGGCACTTCGTACTTCTGGCCTCACTCTAAATTCCCAACAAACTAATTCAGAAAAAAGTTTCAAAAACATAGTTATAAGGTATCAGCAGATATCCAATCAATTAACAACAGATCTGTGATTAATTAACAATCTCTTGGTTAAGAAGGAGAAAATTTTTTTCTTATACCTGGAAGTTTCAGAATTATCCCACGGAAAACACTAATTTCATGTTCATTTTAGTTTAGACACAATATACTACAGTCAGTTGCAGGTAAACTAATTGTGTCAGTAGGAGAATTGTTTAAAGATCAGAAGTTTAGTGTGGCTTTTAGAGATTTATAAAACATTTAGTAATGTGTTACATAAAATTAAATTAGTTTTTTAAAAAGTATTTCACACCAACTGTTACCCTCTATACCCTTCCCTTCTTCAGTAACTTTCATCCTTTTCTTCAGCTCTCCTTAACCTTTCTTCTTCCTAAAGCAACTTCTAATTTCCTCCCACCGTTTGTCCTTCATGTGTTTTATTCTGATGCAGATAATGCCAACACCTGAGAAATACACATATCATGTACTAACAACTATTTCCCTTTCTCATCTCCTCTTTCTTCATTCCCCAAAACCTAGCAAAGACCAAAAATCATATTCACTTTAAAATAATCTTAAAAAGTAAAAATCAGATTTCAGAGCTGGGACCACCTATGTTACTCTTCATCAAGTGGAATAGATCCAACCTGTTGTTCAGCTGCTTTACAACACTATTTAACCCTTGTTAAGAGTTAACTATTTGGGGCATATAAAGGACATGCAGACAAGTTCTAACACTAAGCTCAGGAACACTTATCCCTTCTAGAGTGCTAGGCACCATTACTATAATTTTCCAGTTAGTTTTTATTTAACATTCCCCAACAGTACTCTCAAGTAGAAGAGTAAAAGACAACTTTCAGTTTTCAACACAAGCAAGGATGATGCCACAACTCTGATTTCAGTTGTCTTGATTTCCAACTATTTTGGACGCTATACTTGTAATTTTAAATACCTGTTGTAAAAGCAGCTAAGTACAATGTACAAGAAGCAGACCTCTCATGAATCTCAAGAAACACCTAGTCCATTTTCCTTTCCTATCCCTCATCTGAGTTCAAGTAGTAATCCTACACGCATCTTGCAGACCTTCCGTCCCTTTCAATGAAATATAAGCATGGCAGAATCTCTATGCTAGTTTCCACAAGTTTCTTACAACATGCCATCTGGTATAGACCTCAGCTACTAACAGTTGCACTGAAAATAATAATGAAAGTTCATTAAAAAGACCACAAAGAAGTTAGACTAAGTTGTTGCTTATTTTAGCATTTTAAGTACAAGATGGATTTTCAACACATTAACGTTACTACCTGAGACACAAATGGTACATGAATTTCACCTCAGTACCTGACCCAAGTAGAAACATGCAGCTTTGACAGGTAGACAGCTAGATGTAAATGTCTACACCAGGGACTTGCATTCAGAATAACATTTCAGAAAACAATACTCTGTTATATTCAGAACCTATGATCGATTCTGTGCAGTATCTCACAAGACCTATACTCAAACAGGAGGAGATCGGTTTCCAAATATGTCTAAGCCTGACAGCAAAAGAGACCGAATTTTCTGGGGTCTGTTTATAGAACACATAATATTGAACAACAAAAGTGATGTAGGGTTTTTTTGTTTGTTTTTTTAAATGGATGCTCACTCTTCACCTCCAAAATATGTCTTCTCTTTTTAAACCGAGTCCAAGCAAATATTAGCTTTCTTTTACCTGTCTGGGTGGTTTCGTGCATAGACTCATAGTCAGAATGATCGAGAGCCAACGGGTTCATATCTGTCTGGTCTGCCACTGAAACAGCTGGTGACTGCTCCTGCAGCTCTGTCAGCACTGCATTCTGATGCTTTTTGTCGCCATCACCATTGGCATCCAGTCCTGCAGCAGAGATGACAAACGCACTCAAAAAACATTCCTTCTAATCACAGTAACATCACAGTTAAAACTGAATCCGAAGTAAAGTTGATTACATATTTACTTTTTTTTTTTTTAAACAGGAAAGTACAATAGAGAAAATTCTGCACTGAGTTTTACCTTTTGCTTGTGCAACAGCTAGAAACTCGCATTCATACCTTCTTTACAAGAATCTGGAGGCTGGTCAGGTATTTCTTCCCACGTTTTGCTCACGCTACCATCAGTGGTACCACTTGCTTCCAAGTGCAACATATGATTTCCCCACACCTTTGCATTAGGATTTAACTCAGAAACCTTGGTTGACTCCTACAAAAAGAAATTTCTTTGATTATGCATTTTGCGGATGCCCAGCACATATCTGTGTGTATATACATACAGTTTCAAATAACAGTATCAGATGTACAACTCAAGATTATATTAAGTTTCTTCACATCTGAATATATTAACTGAATTGCCATCCCATAATCATTTCAGATACAAAACCAACTGAATTCTGCAGCACAGAATTCATTTCCCTAGTGAAGAATCACCAGAAAAGGCTAGCCAAGCAGAGCAAACTACAACAAACAGTTCATTCTTTGCCTTTGACAGACTAATTCAACCTGTACTTGCCCTTGTACTCAGGCAGTTCTCTAATACAGATGTTAACTCAATGTTGCCTATACTGTTATTGTATCTGTTTCTGGGAAATAACATAAGAAAATTAAGACAATACTAATTTTTTCTGGACTTTAATATAAACACGTAACAGTGTTCAGGAAACATTATAGAAAATCAAAAGTAATGAGATGTACATGACCACCTCTGTCATTACTCCAAGAGAAAAAACAGAGGACTACCAAAAATTTTGGTTTGTTTTCCCCTAGGCAGGACAAAAAAAGAATGAATTACCAGATCAAGTCAAATCATCTTAGGCCAGTCTCCTTTAGCCTGGACTGGAAATGGACACAGTTGATGGTCATATACGGTTATATACATAACCATTACATAAATTATTATATCTATACTTCAGAAAGATTGCTCTCTGCAGTGCCAGCATCTACAATACTTTTTTTTTTGGTAGTAACAAGTTTTTCTCTTGTTTTGCTGATGTTTGAACAAAATGTATTAAGTTATTCCATACTCAGAATATCTTTAAGTTTCAATATGATGATTATACCG